ACGCACGCACAGACGCACACACGCACGCATGCACACACACACGCACGCACACACGGAGGTCAAAACATAAGTCCCCATTTTCGGACTGCGTCTTGCACTCCTCTACACCCCACACATCGATCTCTTCAACAACAGGTCTTTTCTTCCTTCTCAGCTATCACATTCCTAGGCCACCATACACCTCGACTCCTCTCTCATTTCTCTCATCGTTGCATCGCGGGACAGCCACTCTGGACAATATGTCCTTAGAGTTGTCTGCGCGAAACTTGCTTGCCGCTACCAATCTCTCGTATAGCTGTGTAAACGTCACATCTCCCTGGCTGACGTCAATTGCCACCAGTCTACAACAATCCCTCAGTTTTACCTCTGAACTTTTATGCTCACGTATTTTGGTGGCGTGGTCGCCATGTTAGAATTTACGGCAACACAATACGCATGTGCAGAAGATCATTTACGACAAAATTAGCTCGTTTTGAGGTAGTCCAAAATGAGTTTTACGGCAAGTCGGCGCTTTGCGACAATATGAGTCGTCAAGTTCCAGACAGAAAACCGATCTGTGGGAACTCGTCGTCGGAGATTTTTTTTTTTTTTTGAGAACAGGCGAAAACTAATGCACGCGCGGATGTCATCCATAAAATTAAGTCGGTGTGGCCTAAGGAACAATTAATACATCTTTGTTGGGGGGTGCATTTACTATTTTTGTCAAATAAGTTTGAAATGTGAAATACAGAACCCAAAAGATATAATAATAGAACAACTTTCATTGATCAGTGAAGAGCATAAATACTAGAATAGTTAGAATGATAATAATCGTAGTATACATCATACATGTACATTATTCACAGACCATTTGAAAATGCAAATTACTTTTTTAGTAAAGTTCAAATTACAGAGTAATTGTACATGTACTGCTACACATTTCGCATGCAGTTTTGTTGTTGTCAAACTTCTACCAATAACCTGCACACTTTGGTGAGCGCCTTTCCCCATAGAGTCTCTCCATCACAGCCCTCCTCATTGTGATTTGCCCACAGTCACTCTACAGTCTATAGAGGGACTGTAGCTTGCCGTATAACCTAGCCACCACCACACAATCCAGGCGCAGAACTGCTCGTTGCACGAATTTGGTCGGCCGTGGTAAGATCATGAAACAAAAACATGACGGGTCAGACGACTTACCAAAAACTGCCTATAGTACTCAACGGGCTGCGCGGTTCTGAAAACAGATAATATATTAATTTATAACAGTGCTTATGGTTCGGTGACAAACTGTGGCATTATGTAAGATGTCAACAGTAACCACGTGCACTTACTTGAAATCCGCAGCCATTTTCCTTTGGAAATCGTCGAGTTTTGTAATAAATGTTTCGATTGGCTAATACTTTTTGTAAACATCTTTTTCTCCAATCAACGTTGGTGTAACAAACCGCCAAGGAGAAAGATTGAAGTACACGACAGTACGCTTGCGCATTTCAATTTATCCCCTTGTTACTTCCGGATGCAAGATGGTTGGGTTGTTGGAGTTATTTTGCATTCTGCTGGTGTTAGCATTTGTGCTATTGGTTTTGGTTAGTATTTTTATTTATACGTTCTTTCAATCTTGTGTGATATGGACGCACTGGGTGAATATTATTTCGATCCCAGCAGCTGCATTGAAGTTCCAAGGTCGTTGAGTTGTTGCATCATGTCCCGGTTTAATAATGTTGCTTTAGATTCCGTCCGTAACTAAATTATATGCCAGAATTTTATTTTTCATGTATTTTATCAGGTTGTAGCTATCTTTTAAAATATTGCACAAATAACATCAAATAGAAGTGTGATAATTGCTGATGTACGGAATTGTGGTGGTTCCAAGGCCAGGGGCAGTCTTCAGCGACTCCTATCAGCTGGCAATCAGCTGATCGGTTGATCCACGTTGCAAGATTGAACAATTGAACTCTGACCTGAGTAAAACGCAGTGATTTTACGTTTACGACCAATTGCCTAATAACCACGATACGTGATGTGTACTGAAAATACAGACTAGTATATTCAACCATTACTTCATGTTTGAACTTTGGGAGGGGAGAGGAGAGGGGAGGGGCGGGAAGGAGGACCCCAACTTGGCCCTAGTATTTATCTAAAACGAGGATAAAGTAAATTTTAATCGAAAGCAAGTTTACTTTAAAAGTCAAATTAATAATGGAATTTTAGTGTTGATTGAGAATGCAAAAACATTACATGTTTCTTGTATTTTCCTAAGCATTGTATGCAAATCATTTTAAGGTCATTCACCCTAAACATACAACCAAGACAATAGAGGTCGTGTATGTTTTCTGTTTACTATGCCTAGTCCCATGTTTGCCCATAACATTTTGTATAGTTTGCTTAAATTTTTACTAAAATATTCACAGAAACGTGACATTTGTATTTATTGGTTTACAGTATTTAATATAAAATATTATATTTGCATTAATTTGTTACGGTATATACTTTCAAACCTGTGTATAGCAAACACCGAAGGTACTTAAACAAACAAGAAAGGTACTCGAATGATGTTCTGTAAGACATATCTGGTGCCTAATGTTCCAAACCTACTAGTTTATGTCCTACTACGGTACTCATAATGTTTTTGTTCTGAAATTTTTCCATCAAAAAACATAATTAATATTTCTTTGCTTTTTGTGTATTTGTCTTGGAATATCACCGTATGCATGACGAATATTCAATTCAATATGATATCCCAAGAAATGTTACTTCAAAAAAAAAAAGACCAAAGTTGTCTGTCCCTAAATTCCCTAGTGTGTTTAGTTTAGCTTACCTAGACCAATAGATACAGTGTACTGTAAAATACTTTATTTTACCTGGAATTAATTTTCAATGAAAAGACTTTTTGGGTGTTTTGTATGGAATTTATTTTCACTGATTCTTGATGAATTGAATGTAAAATATATGAAAAAAAGTATATTCACTGAATCATCCCTTCAGCGAAAATAAAATGTATTTTACAGTATATACTAAATTAGCAATGACCAATAGAAACATTTGCTGTAATATTAAAATAAATCTTCATATTGTTTTTCTTTTCAGGGATTAATTATTATTTACATAACAACAGACTCCATGCCAAATTTAAAAAGATATGATAGTGAAAAATATTTTAAAGATCCCAACCGTGGAGGATCAAAGAAAGAATTCCCAAGTATACAAGACAAGGCAACAAAGAATCTCTCTGTGATAGTGCCCTCGTACAATGAGGAAGAGAGATGTAAGTTCATTTATCGACATCAAAATAATTATTCTCTGTGATCTGTTTAAGTTACAGCATAATGTGATATTGCGGCATCTGCATTGTACCATATTAGGAAATGTGAATTCCAAATTTGGAATGATTACGCAGTATTTCCAATATAGTGGTTACTTTTGAAAACAAAGTTCATATTCTATGCAGACCGTGCCACCAGTGTGGGTATATTTCATTGATTATATTGTATGCAGACCGTGCCACCAGTGTGGGTATATTTCATTGATTATATTCTCGTGTGGGTATATTTCATTGATTATATTCTCGTGTGGGTATATTTCATTGATTATATTCTCTTCTAGTGAAAATAAGAGAAATCAATTTAATTAAAATTGTGAATGTAGGAATGAGTATTTTTATCACAAATGCAATTACAGTTTTATATAGTGAAGTGATTTTGTTGGCCAAGTTATTTTTTATACCTAATAAATGTGTACATGGATAAATATGTCAATTTTTAGACTTACTTCATTTTGATAAATAATTTTATTTATCTCTGATTTACATAAACTTTCTTCAAGGAAAGGTTTCAATAGTTTCACATTATTTGTATGTATTGTTTTAGTGCCTACAATGTTGGATGAAACGCTGGCATTCCTGGAGGAGAGATTGGTAGGAAACATTATTGTTATTATATTTTAGACACTGTGTGAAATAAATGTCCTGTATATCGCTAAGTTCATAAAGACATTTGCATACAAGTATGCCACTATTGTGTCTATGTTAGTATTCTACTTGTCATCAACTCAACTCTACCCATCATGCAGTTCATGTGCCAATTATTTCTTGTATTTTTTTTTTCTTTTCAGAAAAAGGAATCTTCTCTGACCTTTGAAATAATAGTCGTAGATGATGGGAGTAGAGATAAAACATCAAAGGTGAGTTATGGGAAATGTATATTACTGAGGTACAGGGTAAGTTATGGGAAATATATGGACTGGAGTACAGGGTAAGTTATGGGAAATATATATGGACTGGGGTACAGGGTAAGTTATGGGAAATATATATGGACTGGGGTACAGGGTAAGTTATGGGAAATATATATGGACGGGGTACAGGGTAAGTTATGGGAAATATATATGGACGGGGACAGGGTAAGTTATGAGAAATATATATGGACTGGAGTACAGGGTAAGTTATGGGAAATATATATGGACTGGGGTACAGGGTTAGTTATGGGAAATATATATAGACTGGGATACAGGGTAAGTTATGGGAAATGTATATGGACTGGGATACAGGGTAAGTTATGGGAAATGTATATGGATTGGGATACAGGGTAAGTTATGGGAAATGTATATGGACTGGGATACAGGGTAAGTTATGGGAAATGTATATGGACTGGGATACAGGGTAAGTTATGGGAAATGTATATGGACTGGGATACAGGGTAAGTTATGGGAAATGTATATGGACTGGGGTACAGAATAATTTATGGGAAATGTATATGGACGGGGTACAGGGTAAGTTATGGGAAATATATATGGACTGGGATACAGGGTAAGTTATGGGAAAAATATATGGACTGGGGTACAGGGTAAGTTATGGGAAATATATATGGACTGGAGTACAGAGTAAGTTATGGGAAATATATATGGACTGGGATACAGGGTAAGTTATGGGAAATGTATATGGACGGGGTACAGGGTAAGTTATGGGAAATATATATGGACTGGGATACAGGGTAAGTTATGGGAAATGTATATGGACTGGGGTACAGAGTAAGTTATGGGAAATGTATATGGACTGGAGTACAGAGTATGTTATGGGAAATATATATGGACTGGGATACAGGGTAAGTTATGGGAAATATATATGGACTGGGATACAGGGTAAGTTATGGGAAATGTATATGGACTGGGATACAGGGTAAGTTATGGGAAATGTATATGGACTGGGATACAGGGTAAGTTATGGGAAATGTATATGGACTGGGATACAGGGTAAGTTATGGGAAATGTATATGGACTGGGATACAGGGTAAGTTATGGGAAATGTATATGGACTGGGGTACAGAGTAATTTATGGGAAATGTATATGGACTGGGGTACAGAGTAATTTATAGGAATATATATGGACTGGAATACAGGGTAAGTTATGGGAAAAATATATGGACTGGGGTACAGGGTAAGTTATGGGAAATATATATGGACTGGAGTACAGGGTAAGTTATGGGAAATATATATGGACTGGGATACAGGGTAAGTTATGGGAAAAATAGATGGACTGGGGTACAGGGTAAGTTATGGGAAATATATATGGACTGGGGTACAGGGTAAGTTATGGGAAATGTAGATGGACTGGGGTACAGGGTAAGTTATGGGAAATGTATATGGACTGGGGTACAGGGTAAGTTATGGGAAATATATATGGACTGGGATACAGGGTAAGTTATGGGAAAAATATATGCAATAGGGGGTACAAGGAAATTTACTAGTTAGAATGCAAAGTGAATTTAAGTTGTATTTTTCTTTTCTATAGGTTGCTTTAGACTATTCAAAAAAATATGGCATTGATAAAGTGAGAGTGTTGACACTAGCAAAGAACCGTGGTAAAGGTGGTGCAGTCAGGTTAGGTGTATTAAGTGCAAGAGGAGAATACATTCTATTTGCTGATGCTGATGGTGCTACTAATTTTCCTGATATTGTGAAATTAGAAAGTGCAATAAAACAAATTAATAACAAGGTGAGGTATTGTGCTATGTGAAAATTTTAACTAAACTGTCTAATAACTGATTCAGTTTTTTAGCTCCACTGTCGACTTTGTCGAGCGGAGCTTATCATATGAGTGATTGTCCGTCGTCGTCCGTTGTCCGTTGTCCGTGTCAATGTTTTACTTTTTCGACTTCTTCTTGAAAACTACAAGCCTGAATGCTTTGATACTTGGTGAATATGTACCTTGGGTAGACCTCTCTCAGATTTGTTCATTTCATGATCATATCTTCAATTCTCTAATTTTGGTGAATATTTTTGTCATTTTTGGTAA